ATCCAGTCTTTGTTCACTGTTGTATCCCCAGGGGCCAGTGTGATATCTGCCCACTCAGGCACTCGATCTGTGAGCGACCCCCTGGGTGGGTCCACACGGGCACTGGCAAGCATCAGCAGGGGGTGAGGGCTGGCAGGGAAAGGAAAGGAGGCGGGAGACAGCACCGAGGCTGATGAGCGAGTGGGGAGGGCAGGTGCAGGGCCATGGAGAAGGCTGTCCGATTCCCAGGTGGGCCAGCCTCGATGAAGCTGCCACAGGACCCAGGCTTCTCAGCTGGGAAAGGTTGCACAGCGGGGCGGGGGCGGGGCGAGGGGCTGTCCTGGAAGTTCAGTGGCGCCCGGAGCAGAGGTCAGCTGCAGAGGGACTGGGCAGTGACACGGGGCCGTCCTGGCAAGCACAGAGATCCAGATGGGGAGGCGCCCTCTTCCAGCTCTGGTAGCAGTTTGGGGTCCCGATGGGGGAGACAGGGGGACTGGAAACTGATCTAGGAGACACTTCTTGGAAGAAGCAGGACCTGTAGAGTCCTCCCATCCGCCTCCACCAGGCTGGTCCTCCCTCCCCTCCCCGGCCCCTGTCTCCAGCTGGTGCCCCCACAGGGCGGGAGGTCTGTCTCCTCCAGCGCTGTCTCCTGGGTGCCTCGGATCAGTAAGAGCTCGCTGACCGGCAGAATCCAGGTCCCTCGGCTGAGCGAACGCTGGGCCTATGGGAGGCTGCACCCTCCGGAGACGGGGGCCCTCGTGCCGCGAGTCTTGTTTCAGAATCGAGTCTGGGCCACCCCTGCACCCTCCAAACTCAAATTCACCCACACCCACTGGAATTTTTCACCATCTCAGTGCATACTCGGCATTTCACAGCTCGGCTCCTGTGGCAGCACCTCCTTCACGTCTGTCCTCATGTTAGGAGGGTTCCCCTCGCCTCTGGCTGGTTTCTGAGACACTGCCACACACGGAGGAGGGCTCAGGCAGGCAGAACAAAGAGCTGATGGAGGCGAGGTGTGGTGGGTTAAGCTGGTGCTTGGACATCCACATCCTATATCGGAGGGCTGGTTCCATCTTCCTGGGAAGCCACAGGAGATGGCTCAAGTGCTCGGGCCCCTGCCACCCACATGGGAGACCCACATGCAGTTCCTGGCTCCTGGCTTCAGTCTGGCCCAGCCCTGGCTGTTGTGGGCATTTGAGGAGTGAACCAGGAGATAGAATCTCTCTCTCTCTTTCTCTCCCCCTCCCCCTTTTCTAGCTGCCTTTCAAATAGAGGAAAATAAACTTTTAAACAAAAATTTTTTACAGAGGTTATGGAAAGAGCTTTGGCTTGCTGGCTCTGCAGCATACGCTTGAGCCCTAAACCAATCCTTCCACCTGAACACATCCCCCTCACCTGGGCCCACAGTGCGTGACTTTGGCCTGCCCCCCCAACTCCGCCCTCACCCCATCTCCTAGGTCAGAAGTCAGACCTTGGCCCAATCTCGGCTTCACCTTTGTCGATGAGCTCCCTCACCTGAAAAATCATTGCTAGTTACCTCCAGAGAACTGCTGAGGGCATGAGACAGGGCAGTGTGTGCACAGTGGGCCTGCTTGGGCCGGCGCTGTGGCATAGCGGGTAAAGCTGCCTCCTGCAGCGCCAGCATCCCATATGCACACTAGTTCAAGTCGCGGCTGCTCCACTTCCAATCCAGCTCCCTGCTAATGCACCTGGGAAAGCAGCGGAAGATGGCCCAAATGCTTGGAGAAGAAGCCCCTGGCTCCTGGTTTCAGTCTGGCCCAGTTCTGGCCATTGTGAGCTTTTGGAGAATGAACCAGCAGATGGAAGATCTGCCTTTCAAATAAAATAAATAAATCATAAAAAGTAAAAAGATTCTCCTGCTCTGCAACCCCGACACGTGCGTGAGAACCAGGGTGTGAAGGCCAGCGTGCACTCTGCAGCCGTCAGATCCACTCCCTCTCTCGACAGATCTGGTGCGGGACCGAGGACGGGGCTGGCACCACAAAGCTAGTCCACAGCACGCTGGAACCGGAGCCCAGCTGGCCGGACATTCACGCCGCGGGATGGAAATTGGTGCTGCTAAAAGGTTAATCCACACAAGAGGCTTGAAGTCACTGCCGTCACAGGCAGCAGCAGGGAGGCAGGCTGGCCGTGCCAATGAGGGCTCTGACACTGGCATGGCCACGGGGTGCGCACAGGCCCCGGGTCCCGGCTTCCTGTGCTTGTCTCTGCCAATTACCAGCAGAGTGAGTGCACTGAGCCTCAGTTTCCCTGTTTGGAAAAAGATGGGGCTGTCGGCACCCCTGTCACAGAGTCACCGTTCAGAGTCAAATGCCACACTTGGCGTAAACCACCCGCTTGTAGGCATGGTGTTAGTAGGAGCATAAGAAATGCTGGCAACTGCACCGGTATTTCCTGACCAAAGAGTCAGGAAATCGTTTTTAAAGCTGAGCTTCTCAGCCGGCGCCGTGGCTCACTAGGCTAATCCTCCGCCTTGCGGTGCTGGCACACGGGTTCTAGTCCCAGTTGGGGCGCCGGATTCTGTCCCGGTCGCCCCTCTTCCAGGCCAGCTCTCTGCTGTGGCCCAGGAGTGCAGTGGAGGATGGCCCAAGTCCTTGGGCCCTGCACCCCATGGGAGACCAGGAGAAGCACCTGGCTCCTGCCATCAGATCAGCGCGGTGCGCCGGCCGCGGCGGCCATTGGAGGGTGAACCAACGGCAAAGGAAGACCTTTCTCTCTGTCTCTCTCTCTCACTGTCCACTCTGCCTGTCAAATAAAAAAAAAAAAAAAAAGCTGAGCTTCTCACGTGGCAATAGTTTTAAAGGTGATCAGTGTCCACTTCCACGGGCTTGCCTTTTATAGGAGCAGGGGTTACTCCAATCGCCTCCTTGAGGGCCTTTCTATATCCTGGAAGGCAGCAAAATTATCACTATTTAAAGACTTAATTAACTTTTATTATAGCCAGCACAGAAGGCACTAGATAGGCCGAATGTGTGATACAATGGCCTGTATTTTATATGCTGCCATGCATACTTTACAGTACACTGGGGCCCTTGCATAATCAGTGCGCACGGAACTTTAATGCCCATTTTATGAGTCTTTTGTCAGGGAGGCAGGATGGGGTGGTGGTTGGAGCGCTGGACCGGGGGTCGCCAGGCCTGGTTAGAGTGGAGGCCTTGCCCCCTTTAGCGGGCACACCACGGTCCAGCTCCCTGCCCTCCACATCAGTGAGATGCTGGCTGGGCCGGGAGAACCCCAGGGCTCCCCCGCCATGGCAGTGTATGACCGGCAGCAGAATCCTACACCTGGTTACGGGTGTTGAACTTGTGCATGCCTCCACGGTGTAGTTTGGATCGCCCCTCTGGTTTATTCGATGCTAAGTTCTTAGGAATGCAGCTCCCACACGTTAAGCTGCCTGTGGCTGCCATGAACGCCTGCCGACAACACTCACTTCCCAGGAAGCGAGTGGGTGACCTTCATGTGGCCCTTGACGTGGTCACCCGTCTTCCAGATCTTTCCTGGGACCCACTTCTCATTTCTGGTTGTCCCTAAGTGAAGTCTGCACCCCAGCTATGACATCAGCAGCAAGGGTGACCGCTGTGACAGCACCACACAGCAGGTGGGAACCGGCGAAGTGGGACAGCGATGGGGCCTCACTCTACACAGAACAGCCAAGGGGTCCAGGAGCAGAAGTGCATCGGGGGCAGGCATTGTGGGGCAGCAGGACCCCACATCCCGTATCAGATGCCTCATCCAAGTCCTGGTTACTGTGAGCTCCCAATCCAGCTTCCTGCTACTGCACGTGAGAGGCAGCGGACGATGGCCCAAGTGCTTGGGCCCCTGTCACCTGTGTGGGAGACTAGGATGGAGTTCCTGGCTCCTGGCTTTGGCCTGACCCAGCCCTGGCTGTTGAAGGCATTTGAGGAGTGAACCAGCAGATGGAAGACCTCCTCTCTCTCTCTCTGCCTTTCAAATAAATAAATCTTTTTTTTTGAAAGAGAGAAGTGAGTCCCATGTGGCCAGCCCCTCTTGTGTCAGGAAGCAGGGCAGGTGTGATGCCTCTTAGGAGATGCCCAGCCCCTGTTGCACCCAAGTCCCTGCTGTGGGCTCCCTCCACACCCACGGTGGGTGCTCCATGAGAGGGGTCCCTGCCTGTGTGACCCCCGGGGCAGGAGTGCAGGCCAAGGAAGAGCACACCAAAGTCCTGGAACAGAAAGCCTCCTGTGGGAGAGGGATGTAGTTTGGAGGGGGCCAGGCAGCTTCAGGCTGTCCAGCCAGGATCTGGGTAGGATTCAGGTTCGCCTTAACTGATCCTAGATTAACCAACCTTCATCCACCCCTCCATTCACAAACAGCTCATGCCCAGGTCCCTGATATATAAGGGACTTTAAACACCTCCTAGAGATAAGTTTGAAAGCAAAATGATTTTGAAACCCATGCATAGATTGTTTTCATTGTATGCATTTTCTGTGAATTCTCTGTGTACCTGGGGCATTGGTTTAGGGACCAGGTTCTGCGTTTACAGAAGCCCCACTGTTCATGAAATGTTTTGCCTGGGCTCACGGGCATGCGGGAGAGTGGCCAGTGCCACTTGGTAGTTCCGTGTCCCACGTCTGGTCTTTCATAAGGCCTTCCCCCCTATCCCACTAGAGTAGCCCAGGCTGCCCCTTCTCCGTGCAGGAGCCGTCCGTGGGCTGGCCCCTGGCATGAGCTCTGCGCGGAGGGAGCTGCACCTGACTCCTCCGCTGTGCCTGGTCAAGAAAGACATCCGAAAAACAGGTCTCCCCGGCTCCTTGGTGCGCTTGCTCCAAGGGCCTGCAGAGGCAGAACTAGGGGCGTCTCCTGGGGCTTTCCACCGTCGTGGGGCGAGAAGGGAAAGGCAGAACGGCCGGCAGCGCGCCGCGGCCGGCACAGAGGACTGGCAGCCCTGCCCCCAAGAGCGCTGGGCCGGCAGCGGCAGCGCCCTGCGGCGGGCGTCCGGGGCGCGCAGCGGCGCGCAGCCGGCGAGTGGGAGGTGCAGGCTGGAGGTGGTATATCCTGTCTGGCGGAGGGCGGGCCTCGCCAGTGCCACAGAGGGACGAGCCGGGGGTAGAGGCGCCAGGAGCAGCTGCCGGGAGCCTCAAGCAGACCGCGCACTCTATGGCCATAGGGAGCCGCTGAGAGCCAGAAGAGCACGCTCCCGCCGCCCGCTGCGCCGCACGCCCTCCTGCGCCTCTCTGCCCGCCCGGCCCGGCCCGCGCCTCCCGCCACCATGAACCACTCGCCGCTCAAGACCGCCCTGGCATACGAGTGCTTCCAGGACCAGGACAACTCCACGCTGGCCCTGCCGTCCGACCAGAAGATGAAGACCGGCACGTCGGGCCGGCAGCGCGTGCAGGAGCAGGTGATGATGACGGTCAAGCGGCAGAAGTCCAAGTCTTCCCAGTCGTCCACCCTGAGCCACTCCAACCGAGGTAAGGCCCGGCGCCCGTGCGGCCCGCGGCAACCGAGGGGTCGCGGAGTCCCAGGGCTGTCGGCCCCGCGCGCGAGCAGGGCGTCCCCAGCCGTGGCGACCGGGGGCGCGGCGGGGCGCGGCAGGAGCTTTACTGCGCGCGAGTGGGCGCGGCTACGTGGCTCGCCGGGACCGCGCCGGGAGCGTGTCTCCCGCCCGCCGCCGGGAGGCTGAGTCTGGGGCTGGAACCCTGGATCCGCACGGCTGGGGAGAGGGCGCTCGGCTCCCGGAGGGCTGTGTACTACCGGCACCTCCGTAGTTCCCAGGCTCTGGATGCGCCCCTGAACCTGTCCTGGGCCGCCAGCGCCGGAAGCTCGGGCTGAGCCGGGCGGGGTGAGGGGGTCACCGAGGCCTGAGTGTGGACTCAGGAGAGAGCAAGAGGGGATCGGAGGTGGCACCAGGAGCAGGGATGACTCGCGGGACCTCCCGCCGGGAAGAGGCAAGGCTGCCCCGCAGTGATCCAAGACAAGGGGCTCCCCAACAGCTAAGGCAGAACCCCCCTTCCCACAGATTCTCCCTGCGGCACTCGGCTCCAGGAGAGCCACGGGCTCATGGGGGAGAGTGGGAAGCGAGGGCGGCTGGGAGGGGGTCCCTCCAGGTCCTCGGAGACCTGGGCTGAGCCGACCATGGCACTTCAACAATCAGAGTGCCCGCCTCTGTGGGTGACATGGTCTCCCGGTGGGGGAGGCTTGGAGAAAGGCACAGGACCCCTGGAACTGAGGGGCAGTCCCAACAGGGGCGTTTGTGCGGAGCGTTTCGGCCAACACTTCCGCGCAAGAACTGCACGCAAGGCAGCAGGCCCCAGTGTGGACACTTATTTCTTCGACTTCTTAATTTTACCAATTTTAAAATGTTAACAAAGACCCTACCCTTTGTGAACCAGAACAGGTCAGTCGTGACTAGCAGACAGAGAGGGGCAGTGGACAGTCAGAGGAGGAAGCAAAGGAGACAGACCCCTGCCCGTTCTCCCTGCCACACACACACACACACACACACACACACACACGCATGCAGGCACAGCCACACACCTGCCAGCTCCTCTCTCGGCCTCTGCCTCCGTTCCTGAGCTGCCTCTGGGCCCAGCTGAGAGAAGCGAGAGGCAGATCTCCCACCTCCAGACCTAAAGGCCTGGCTGCTTGGTGCCCTTTGCCCCTGCCCCTGCCGGGGCTCTGGGCTCCTCTCCTTTGATTTCCTGTCTTGACAGTTGCTGACGAGCCTCTCTGGGAAGCAGGTCTGGCTACAGTAGGGGGCATAGCTCAGTCTCACCTGCTGCCCCCATGTGAGACCTGCCCACCCATTGCCACTCTTCCCACTCCACGGCAGCCTGAGCTCCTGGCTCACAGCGCCAGGAAAGTCCCAAATCTGCTCCACGTGCCCCGGATGTTTTGTCTTGTGCCCTCCGTGGGGATGCTGGCCGGACGTCCGAGCCAGGCCAGGCTGTTGCTGTTCTGTCCTTGGTCTTTGAGGGTGACGTCCATCTGATGGGGCCTGGATCCCTGCGTCCCTGGGTTGACTCTGATGCCTGCCCTTCCAGAAGCTGTCCAAGGACTGTGGATGTCGCTGTGTGTCCCCTACCTGCAGCCTCTGGGGAGGTTCCCAAGGGGTGTCAGTTTCCACAGCTGCACCCGAGCTGGAAGAGGCGGTTCGGTCGCTTGGCGCTGGTGTTTCTGGTTTATCCGGCTTTGTTTTCATCAGATTTCTCTGTCCTCCCCATCAGAAACGCCCAAGCCTCCCCTGCCTGCTCCGTGGCCATCTCCACTCACTCTGCCCCTCTCGCTCTTGCTTTCTGCGGCCGTCAGTCTGCTGGGTTCCTGCGAGGGAGGCGTTGGCAGCCGGGGAAGGGTCACGCCCCGGGCCATTTCCTGGGTCCCCCGGACAAAAGCGGATGCTCCTTTGGTCTCCTCCAAAAGCAAGGAGCTGACTTCTCTGGAGTCCTTGACCCTCTTGGGCCCCCTGAATCCTACCCAGGGCCCCCCTTAATTAAGAAGCCTGGCCCCACGCACAGGTGCCCGTCCCCATGTTCCCGGCATCCTAGTGCCTTTCCTTTGACCCTGGCTGCAGCAGGGATCTGAGTCCTGCAGGCTGGAAGGACCCAAGTGGAAACAGCCTGGCCCCCAAAGGCCCATCTGCCCCCTGTCCCTCCCAGGCTGCTCCCCAAGTCCCGGGGAGGGGGCGGGGACCCTCAGGGGCCTGCTGTGGACCTGCCCACCACCTTGAACTGCCCTGTGTTTTCAGGGTGCCCCAGTGTGCAGCCAGGTGACTGTGTGGGAAGCCAGAGGAAGCCGAGGGGGACGTGACCACAGGCAGAAGTCTTTGCGGGGACACGTGGTCTCCCTGAGGGTGGGGAAAGCCCTCCAGGAGCCCTGGGGGTGGGGGGGCGGTGCACTGCTCACCCAGCCCGAAAGGTGACACTTCCCCACCTTCCAGGCCTTCCTAATCTCTCCCTAAGCTTTGCTCACATCCGGGAATCTCTTCCTAACGCTCAGCCCATCTCCCCCACCCCAGCCCCACACACCTGCCCTGCCCCATGAGCACATCTCACACACCCAGTTCCCAGCACGGAGCTCCACTCCTCACGTCCCCTGTCCTTGCAGGACGCTCCCAGCACTGCCAGCGCGCTCGGCCTGGGCGCTGTCTCGGCACCTCTCTGCAGCCGCAAGCTTGCCTCCTTCCTTCTCGAATCTTGCCAAGCCTCTTCTTCCTTCTGATCAGAAATACGGGTTGGGGGTGACACTGGGCCAGGGCAGGTGCCTGCCCCACCTTCTCCATCCCTGGGCCTGTTCAGGCCCTCCTGGGGGCAGGCTACGCAGGACGCGCAGTGAGGGAGCCGAAGTCGGAGCCCCCGCCTTTGGGGGCTTCGTGCCAGTGCATCGGGCTGAGTCTTGGCAGGAACGATGGCCCCGGGCGAAGGTTCTGCTCACTCTTCCTGCCCGTAGGCCCTGAGCTGGCATGGCCGGGGGCAGGGGGTCTCCACCGCAGAGCCGAGCCAGGAGCCGGGGAGGGGCGTGTGCTTTGCCAGCTAGGCTTGCGAGGAGCACATCCCGTCTCTTTACAACGCATCTTGGCGTGAAGCTGGGGTTTCAGCTGGAATTTCTGTCGGCCTGTTGCAACACATGCAAAAATGCTGAGTATCCTAGGGGCTTCTCTCCGGATCCGCTCCCTTGCTCAGCTTGCGGGCAGAGACTTTGTAAACACAGATTCCTCTCCCTACTCACCAAATGGTCAGTAGCAGAACCAGGCAAGTGCCCCGTGCCTGTGGCCCCTGGAAGGTCTGTGATGCTGGAACTAAGTAACATAGCAGGATGTCGGACAGCCCCATGTGAAGCACCGGAGGCATACAGTACTCATGGATACACAGCACACATGCAAATGTGTACATTTACACACAGAACCCTCACACGACACTAATGCACACACCTACACACACAAGCACACACACACACACACCCATGCACACGTGCGTGTCCTACCTTGCAGCTTGCGCTGGGGCGGGGCGTCCCCTCAGACCGAGGTGTTGGACAAGGCCCTGCCTCTCTCTGCGTCTCTGCCGCTGTCAGAGACTGGATTAAAATCAGCTCTCAAGTGCCTCGAGACGACAGCACTCTCTGGAAACGGGCCTGTAATTCCTTCCTGGGCCAACCATTTACCCAAACTGCCTGCTGCTCACTGCAGAGCCCCCACCCCCGCCCCCGCCCCGGGCAGCCCACCAGGCTGAGCCTCGGGCAGGCAGCCCAACCCAAATGACCGGTTCTCACCCACTCTTTGATGCGGCTCCACGTGGACTTCCCTGGGAATTTTAAAAAATGGGAATGCCTGGGACCAACACACACACATGTATAGATGGACACTTAATGTCTTATTAGCTGGTGACAGGTTTTTACCCTGGACGCCAGCCAGGTGGCCGGCTGACCTCCATTCCAGTCCCTGCCCACTGGACCCCATGCCTTGCCCCCGTGCCAGCCCTGTCCCGCCTAGCTCCCGCATTCCACCTAATCCTCAGGTTTGGTGGCAGCTGGGCCCAGATCAGAGCTCAGTGGGGCAGCGGCAGGGCCTGGCGAGCACCCCGGCTGCTCTGCTCTGTTTGCGTACCCAGCAGAGGGCCAAGAACCACACAAGTGCCCGTGAGGCTGTGCTGTACTCCTTGCCCTCCTCGCCTGCTCGCACAGGCGTGGAGCTCCCCGGGGCCCGGACACGGCCCACTGCCGCCAGCTCTCAGATGCTCTCCGGGACGTCGTCTTAGAAGTGTCTCCCGTATGACAATGAGCTTCCCAATATTCCAGGCCTGGGCCTGGGCACCAGGGGTGGGAAAGATTGTGGTGGAAAGATAAGGGCTTCCTTCCTTGGGTTTTTTCACACTGAGAGACAGGTGGGCTTGGTTCAAGTGTAGAGGAAGCTGGAAGAGGCGCCAGCTTCGCGGAAGACAGCTTCAGCAAGAGCTGGGGTTCCAGGGCCTGTGGGGTGACAGGTCCTCTGGCCAGCCGGGGAGAAGGACTGGGAGGGGAGGGCAGTGGAGGACATGGGGCTCCCCTCCCCGGCCCCTGGGGGCAGCCTGTGGGTCACACAGGCAGGCCTGTGTCTGTGGAACCTGGTGTTGGGAGGGGGGTGAGGTGGGATCCAGTGGAAGTGGAAGCCCCTTTGCTTCGGGGAGCCCCGGCCTGCCAGGGGGAGACCCAGGCCTGCTGTTGCTTTCTGGGAGGAGGGCACAGAGGCGGGCTGGCACACACAAAGTGCAGCAGCCGCACCCTGGACAACGCCCAAGCCGCCCAGGAAAGCCCACAGCGCAGAGTGCTGACACGGTGGTGTCGGAGGGCGTGGGGTGCTCCGGGCCGGGCGGGGCCCGCTTTGAGAGAAGCAGATCCCTGTTCGAGGCTGGGACTGCAGGGGGTGGGTTGGGCTGAGCGGAGGAGAAAGAATGCTTCAGGTGCAGTGGGTGGGGCCAGCTTGAAAGCTTGGAGGTGGAAGGGGATGAGTCAGCCCCCGCTAGAGAGCATTCCACAGCCCCTCCAGCAGGAGCTGCCACCATTTCCCAAGGGTTTGTGGGTGAGAAAGCCGGGACCGCCCTGGGACATGGCAGAGAGTTAGCTGGTCCGTTGCCGGGGACAGCGAGGGGAAGCAGCCCGCAGGGACGATGCCCACCCTGGGACAGAGTTCCAGGGACGGTTTCCCACCCAGAAATGCGAGCAGAAAATGAGAAAAGCCGTGTGCACAGAGCAGCTTGCATTGCCTGCGTGTAATAGAGGCGTGGAGATATTTGCCCTTTGACCTTCGTGCTCAGTGAGGGGCACACGCCTCCCGAGGATGACGCACAAGACGGGCCGGCGGCCAACTCCACTGAGAAGCCGCCATCTTTGTGTTCGTGGTGGAGGCCTGGCTGGGAACACAGTGGTGGGTCCCTGGGCTCAGCTAGGATCACCTCCTCTTCCACCTCTGGAGCCAAGGGCCCTCCCCAAGGAGGAGCCTTGGAGTCTGCAGCCACACACAGCCCCTTCCTTGTCCTGCCCACCAGGGCCCTCTGTGGGCGGAGGAGGGCCTGGCTGAGTGGACTTCAAGGACCTTGGACCCATCTGGCATAAAATGGGGACACTGAGCCCCTGGGCACCAGACATGAGAGCGCTTTCACGAGAAGGCCCGGGCAGAGCAGAAGGGCTGGTTGGCCACAGGGCCCGCCCAGCCAGGGCTGTGCCCTGTGCCCCGGATCCCGGGAAGGGAAGAAATGTGACACCAGCTCAGGGAAGTGCACGGTGGTGCAGACGGGGACAGGTGGGAGGTGGAGATGGGACCAGGTGCCGTCGATCAGGAGAGGCTTCCTGGAAGTGAGTTCTAGAAAAGTCCAGAGGCCAGATGGGCACAGGCCACCTTACTTCAAAGCCCCCGTGCTTGCTGTTGAACTTGACTTTCAGAGGGCACTGCCAGTCAGACAACTGCAGGGTCAGGAAAGGGGAGATGGCTTCTGATTCGGAGTGGTGCTCCCACAGACACTGTTCACCTGCACCTGCACCCCTGCAAGGGGGACTTCAGGTGTGTGACCCCTCCGGACTGCTCCCTTCCCTGGCCGCCTCTTCCCCAAGGCAGCTGGCACTGGCTGGAGTGATGGCAGCCTCACTCTCACAGAGAGCCAAGCAGGCTCCCGCATGCAGAAGGACCTTAGGGGGTGCCTTCAGGAACTGCCTGGGAGGGTCCAGATGCTTTGGCCCAACCAGGAGTGAAAGTTACAGCCCATACCTGTCTTTACCAGACTCACCTCCGGGACCTGGGGACTGGCTCTGGGGGACCGTAGGGCACCCAGGCTCCTTGGCAGAGTCCCCCACGTTCCCGTGGTGAAGGGTGGATGTCAAGAAGGCAGCAGGTGCAGAGTCGGGGGGGGGAGCCTCTCCCTGAATGGTGCAGAGGGGAGTGACATCATGGCCATGCCCATGGATTTCCAATCCCAGGGCTGGGAGCCGGCAGGGATGCCTTTGAGAAGCAGGGAGCCTCCCGCGGCTCCCTGGAGCTCTATGTCTGTCACCACCCTGGATTTTCCATTCGGAAGCAGCTGGCTGACCCATACCTGCCCTTGGGTGAAAACTACCAGCTCCTGAGGCGAGAGCCAAGTGAACCTGGCCTGCCAAGGCCTGGAAGGGAAGGCAGAGTGGCTGGATGGAGGGAAGGCGGTCCAGCCCTGGCCGACACCCAGGGTCCTGACTGCGGGTGCGCCTGGCGCAGCCCCTTCCAGTCTCCTCCTGGGAGGAGAAAGCCCTCTTCTCCAAAGTAACAAGGCAGGGGCACACCAGGGGGCCGGAGTAAGGCAGAGTCCCTGCAGGAATCAGGCCTGGGCCTGGGGCTCTCAGGGATGGAAGCTTCTAGAAGGGTCCCGGGGCAGGCAGCAAAGGAGGGTGGTGTAGCCTCTGACATCTGCCCTTCCTTCTTGAAAGCTAAGCCCTGTCTTAGGAGAAGAGGAGTTGGGTCTCTCCGAATGCCATCCGGAGAGCTGTGGAGAGGCCGGGTGGTTGCAGAGACCAGGCCCGGCTTATTACAAAAGAGGGAGCTGAGGCCCAGAGACAGCACACAGCTTGCCCCAGTGCCACAGCCAGGACCCAGGTCAGCACCTCCAGGCTCCCAGGGCACCTTGCATCTGCCACGGCCCGAGAGCCCTGGCGTCTACTTGTCCTGCCTGGGAGAGGGGGCATCAAGGCAGAGGAAATGACCCCAGGCAGGGATGCTGCCCTCTGCGACTCCCATGTCTCCCAGAAAGCCCTGGGAGCCTCAGGGGGCGTGGTAGAGGGGGAGAAGCTAACTCAGCCAGGTGAGATCACCGTGAAGCCCTCTGCCTCCCAGACGGGCTTTCTTAAGGGCTTTAGACAGAAGATGTGCATGCCCCTCTCGGGGGCTCCCCCTGGATCCCACTGCACAAGAGGGAGGGGCAAGCCCCGCTCCCCGGCCTCCACGTGGGGGCTAACCACTGGTGGATCTCGAGGGGTGGGACGGGGCCAGTCAGCAGGACAGGGAGCATCTGGAGCGGACATCGCCCGGGGCAGGGCTGCTCAGCAGAGACTTCCTAGAGGGGATGAGGTGTTGAGCTTGGCCTTGAGAGAGGAGGGAGATTGGCTGGTTGTGGCTGAGGAGGGGAGGCAGGTTAAGCAAGGGAGGCGATGTAGCCAAACCGTGAGTTCGTCCCTGTTGGCCGTGTGTCAGGGACAGCTTGTGCGGAGCTGCGGCTGTCCCGCAGGGTCCCTCCATCCAGTGAAAGGGAGCGGAGCGGGAGGCTCCTGCCCCCCCGGGAGCCCTAAATCCAGTTCTACTCTCTGTGGTTCAAAGCCACTTTACGCCTAATGACACTGTACCCTGGCTCGGAGCCTGTCATTTGCGGGTGTCCACACACTCTGAAAACATTCATTAACCCTCACCCGGCCTTTGAGGTTATGGCCGCTCCTCCTCCTCTCCAGCCAGGCATGAAGGAAGGGGCGGAAGGCACTGGTCACCGGCGGGGGCCGGGCTTCCCTCCGAATCCAGGACCCAGACAGGAATCAGACTGGAGTCGGCCCTCGCTGCTCTGGGCTGCTGACCTCCATGCCTGCCATGTCAAGAGCCAGCCTGCCTTCCCGGAGCGGGAAACTGATCCTTGTGGAGTGCGGAGTGGTGATTCCCTGGACTGGAACGGCGCTGCTCCACGTCCCGGCCGGCCACCTCCTGCCCCGTAGGTGTCCACTGCTGGGGAGCCACAAGGCTCCCAGGAAGGGCCCGGCCAAGGTTCTCAGAGCTGTGCCTGAAGCCGTCTGCAGTGTCCCTAGCTGGGGAGGCCAGGGAGAAAGCTAGCGAGGGCCAGCAGGCGACGTACCCTGCACCGTCCTCCTCCAGGGCTTCGCGGCTGGTCCCCGCCATGGGCTTGGTGGACCCGGAGGCAGAGGTGTGCCCTGGGGAGGAGGGCCGGTTGAAGCTCATGGTCACCCCTGTGCTCAACCCCATGCCTTCGCCCTGCAGGTTCCATGTACGACGGCCTGGCCGACAATTACAACAACTACGGCACCACCAGTCGGAGCAGCTACTTCTCCAAGTTCCAGGCTGGAAACGGCTCATGGGGCTATCCGGTAAGGAGCGGCTTCCCTTCGGAAAGCCCTGGGATGTTTGTGGGGTGGGTTTCGGGTTTACAGTGCAGAAAACCCACTCCGATGGCTAAAAAGAGTGGCACAGGCTTTGGTCCCTGAACTGAGGCCCGAGGCCCCAGATGGAGGCTGTTTGCTTGGTCATCATTTCACGGGGTGGGGGCTGCTCGTGTGGCCTTGCATTTGGGCTGATGGGATATTTCTAAAGTCTCAAGTGAGAACATTTTAGGAAAAGCATAAAAAACAGGGTATTAAAAAAATGTGCATTTCCCAATACATCTGACTTGATCATGGTTTGAGAGGAGCTTGAGTCCTTGGGGTCCGTGTGTGGTCAGCCTGAGGGGTCTTCTGCCTTCAGCGTGTGCTGGGGGCCAGGAGTCCCCTGAGGGCAGGAGGACATGTCCACTGCCGGGGCTCTCGTGTGGTCTGCCACATGCTGGGGTCTGCAGTTCAGGCAGATTCGCTCTGAGTGGCTTTGCCGCTCACCAGGCGTGCCATTCTAGGTGACTGACTTCACCCCCGGCCCTCACTTCCTCCTGTGCCGAAGGGATATAACAAAGTCGACTTTGTTGGATTATTGTCAGGATCAAGTAAGTGAACTAATGGGCAGGCCAGAAACCTGATTAGGTCATTCTGAAGACTTCTTTCAAGTAGCATGGGTGGAGATTGTTCTAGGTCCTTGAATCCTGACTCCTCTTTCTGTGTGGTCTCACCCAGCCAACGGGCGGTCCCAGAGCCCCACGCAGGGCCAAAGGCCTGTGGCCCAGCCGTTCTCTTCTGAAGTTGGGGGATGGGGTTGGGTGGCACCCGAGGTTTCTCCCAGGCTCCAGATGCTGTGTGTGTTTTCTGATTTCCACATTAACCTGTACCGTTCTCAGGAATTCTCCCATGAAGCCCTTGCGAGACTGTGCGAGGGGCACTTAGGTTGCGTCTCCGAGGGCAGTCGGGCTCTCTCTCCCTAGGGCTCCGGGAACAGCAACATTGTTCTCGGTGTCACTCCTAAGTGTGGACGGCCTGGGGTCCTGGGCAGGGGACAGGGTGGGGCTTCTTGCGTCATTGGCCTGATGCCTTTCTTCCTAAGTTCTTCTTGGGGTTATTCTTGGAGGCTGCGTCTGCCTTGCGTGTTCCAGGTTGGAGACGAAAGGCAAGAACGAAGCGGGGCTTGCTGGCGCTTCCTGCCTTTTTGATTCTTGATGCCAACTTACACCTCCGTTCAGCAGAACGGAGCCCCGTGACTGAGCCCCGTGAGCCGGCAGAGCAGGCACAGACGGGAAAGCGCTTTGACACAAAGGGCAGGGATCAGACAGACTTAGAGCAGCTGTCCGAGTGATGCTGAGCGCAGGGACCAGGTGACAGCCAGGGAAGGCGGGGCCCTGGCCAGCAGTCACGTGGACAGTCACGCTGGCCTCACGCTGACCTGATGGAAGGGTCTTTCATCCCTGCCCTTATCACAGCTTGGGAGGCCTGGGGTCCATCTTGGCTCCGTGACTTGGGATGAACCTTTAGCCTCTCTGGGCGCTGGTTTTTCTCTTGTAAGTGGGAATGATGGCGGGTCGCATCCACGGTGAGATGTTACCCAGCAGGAAGTGATCTGTAGACTAAGAGCTGTCAAAGAGTTCTTTGGAAGGAGTTGTTTCTAAAAGCAATTTTTAGCCCCCCACCGTGCTCCCCGGGGGGGGGTAATTATCCCACAACACAAAAGAAAAAACCCGCTTCTTTTTTATTTGCGCGCCCCGGGGTGGGGAAATTCTTTTTCTTCCCCTCACCCAGGCCCACCCTTCTGGAAGAGTGGTTTTTGGGGGGGGAGCTCCCGGGCCCTTTCTTGGTTTTTTTGGTTTCGAGAGAGGCGTGGGAACCCGGGAGCCCGGGGCCCCCCTGGGGGGCCGGGGGGGGGGGGGGGGGGGGGGGGTTGGGGGGGTTCCCCACAGAAGGCGGAGCATGGGGAAGGGAGTGGCCGACTTCGCTCTGATGTCAGCGCACTCCCGTGTGGAAGGACTGCCCTGGCCCTCAGCGAACTTGCAGTTGAGCTAGGGCAGTCCAGAGGCCAGGACGCACGGCAGGTGGGGTCCCCGCGCCGCACAGCCACGGCTGTGGGTGCTCCCGGCTCAGCTCAGAGGCCTCAGCGGAAGGCCATTTTCCTGCCTTCCTCGTCAGGACCTGGGCTCCCACGCACTGGTTCGTTCCCCAAATGCCCAATGTAGTCAGGACTGGGCTGGACCAACATCAGAAGCCAGGAACTCTGTCTGGGTCTCCCACGTGGTTGGGAGGGGACCAAGACCTTGGGCCATCATCTGCCGCCTCCCAGGGTGTGTTGTCAGGAAGCTGTGTCGGAAGCAGAGGTGGGACTCAACCCCAGGCACCCCGAGGTGGGGTACAGGTGTCCTGAGGAGGGTCCTACCCCACTGGTGCCACAACACCTGCCCCCTCTAGTTTTATCTTACATCAATATCAGCAGTAGCCTTCTAATAAAAAAATTATCATGCTATTTGCAATCTATGATCATAACTTAAGAAAACGAAGATAGAAAATCCTATAATAAAACTTAGAGCAAAGTTAGTCTGACGAACAAAAGTCGTCTAGAGCAGAAGACTGCCCCAAAGAAGACTTGTTCCGGTCAGTTCTATGTCCACTGGCCGCTTTGGCTCCTCCTCCTGCACAGACGTGGTCTGTAGGAGGGAGGGGCCGATGCTGGGGCGGTGTACAGCCCCACCGAGAGGCGGGGGCGGTGTAGGCCCCACTGAGAGGCTGGGGCGGGCGGCCCCACCTAGAGGCGGGGGTGGTGTACCGCCCCACCGAGAGGCGGGGGCGGTGTAGGCCCCACTGAGAGGAGGGGGCGGTGTACGGCCCGCCCCACCGAGAGGCGGGGGCGGTGTAGGCCCCACCGTCTGACCTCGCAGACGCAGAGGCTGGGCCCTGCCCTTCCCGCTCTCAGAACCATACTTGCCAGGTAGTTGAGTCCCAGCGAGGTCCATGTTTAACACCTGGGAACCTCGGGCCCAGCGATAGAGATCACTCGCCGAGGTCGCGCAGCTGAGCAGCCAAGAGCCCGGCCCTGACCTTCCCACTCCTCACCGCTCTCTTTTTCTGTGGCCCAGACATTGGCACTTTGAATGATGGTCGTTGTCTCCTAAGCTTTTTGTTGTCAGAGTCAGAGGAGCTCCCTTCTGCTCTTTCCCAGATGCCCGCCATGGCCAGGGCTGGGCCAAACAAGGCCAGCGAGCCAGGAGGCAGGAACCCCACCCAGCTCTCCCAGAGGGTGGCAGGGACTCCGCTTGTGCCGTCCCCTGCTGCCTCCCCGGGTGCGCATTGCCGGGAAGCTGGAGAAGGAGCCAGAGCCAGGAACGGCACCCAAGCACTCCCACGCGGGGCGCGGGCGTCGCAACTGCCTGGCTCCACCCGCTCCAGCGAGGGCCATTTTGTGTGTTTCCACAGTCCGTGTTTCTAGGGACATGCAGAGCCCCAGGAACCCAAATCCCATAGTTTCCTCCCGTAGGCCTCCTCTCCCGGCGGGATGTCAGCACGCCAGCACAACGGGAGAGGGACTATATCGTTCCCTCCCAGACTCCAGTGGGGCTGGCTTGGCTGTGGCCATTAAATGGGTCAGGGTGGAGGCTTCCAACAACAGGCACTGTTGGGGAGATACTTACTCTTAAAAATGACTTGGTTTTGGCCTGAAACTCAAATGTAACTATATGTCCTGCATTTTATTTGCTAAAGCTGGTCACCCTACGTCATGCCTGTGATGAAAAAAAAAATAAAAAAATAAAACACACACACACACACACACACACACACAAAACAAGGCTCTTGGAAGGACTGCCCTGCTGGGCTGGGGAGCCAGGCAGGATGACCCCAGGCTGCAGCCATGGTGGGTCTGGACAGTGGGGCTCTGAGACCCCTCTTAGCTGTCCTGGGGATGAATCGATTAACGCCTTCTTCCAGGTCAGCCGAGGCCAGGATGGTGGGATTAGAGAGCTGAAGCCATTGGAAGGCTTTTGGTTCCAAGCTGAAAACGGGCTTTAGGCCCGTGGGTCTGGCCGACACAGGGCGGGGACGAGTGGACGGCTCTGCCTTCAGGGAAATGCTTCTGATCTCAGATGGCAGTCTCAGAGGGGCTTCCTATTCCCAAGCCAAGAAGCACAACCTGAGTGTTCCTGTCGAGTGGGGCGCGCTCTGGTTGTTTCCCGGAGAGCTTCCTGCCTTGGGCTGGGCGGTGGAGAAGAGATTCCCCATGGACACGGTCAGCCAACAGGTGTGCGGCAGGCCACACCATATTGAATCACTCGGCCATGCTCCACTACACCCAGCCTGGCACCCCAAAGAGTGAAGACCCCCAGGAATATGAGGAGGGGGCTTCTGCCCTTGTCCTGGCCCTGTTCCAGCAGCCTTGCCATGCTGTTGCACTTGTCTGACATCAGGTGTTTGATATGTCAGTATTTGACGAGCCTGTCGTGGGCACATGGACCACGTGCTAGAGACCTTGCCCTGAGGATACCTGACCCTGCCCACCCTGCGCCTGAGGCCTGCTGGGTGAGCCTCTGCTGCAGCTGAGAGGCTGGGGTGGCATCAGGCTTTGCTGGGGCGGCGGGGAGGGGGCGGCTGGACTCCCAGCTCAGTGCTCTCCCGTCTGGCGGTTCACCTTCAGCGCCGTAACCATGTTGGTTGCGTGTCCACAAGAGCAGAGCTGTGGGCCAGGTACTGCAGAGAGGCTGCCAGAGAGGAGCCCCTTGCCTTAGGAGCAGCTGAAAGAGACCGCCCTTGCCTCTGCACAGGGGCCACAGGCGGTGCCTGGAGGTAGCCTGGCGCAGGGGAGCAAGTCTAGGCTTCAGCCAGCAACTTGAGGTCCAGATTCCCTCCCCGCCACTGACTCTGTGAGCATAGGCAAGTTCCGAAGCTGATTGGGCCTCAGCCTGCCCATCTGGGAAGTGGGTGAAAGTTCCCCTCTTGAAGGGCAGTGGGAGGAGGGTTATGGGTGTGCCACGTCAGATCAGCAGTGGGCGGCCAGCATTCCGGTCACAGCTGGGCCCAGGGACCCAGAGTGGCCTCCACCTCCCGAGAGACCTTGGTTGTCTGAATCCTGGAGCAAAGCAGTTGAACCAGGTCCTAGCCGAAGACTCATTTAGGGCTCTGTGTGGCTTGAGAGCTGGGTTCTGAGTCTCTGCAGGACCCCGTAGCCAAGGCCTGTGTGGTGGTGGCTCTGGAGCCGGGCAGTGTCAGCTCCCCAGGTCCCCACCTCAGGCCTCCAGACGGGTCAAGGCCTCAGCACGTGCTCCCAGCTTTCACCTGTGCATCTCCAGGTAAAACCAGCAACACTGCAGCCTGTAAGCCCTTGCAACAGGAGAGGTGCTGGGTGCGTTCCTTCTAGTTTCCCAGAGGGAAACAGAGGCACGGCAAGTAGCTCTGCTGGCCAAAGCCCCAGCCCCGTTTCTCAGCTCCAAATGCCGCTGTCCAGGTTCCTCCTGACTGGGGCCCTTGGGCAGGCCTGCTGGGCCTCAGTCCCCTTGGAAAGGCCAGGTGGGGCAGAGAGGAGACGAGGGAGCGATGATGGTGTGTGCGCCAGCTCAGGGGTCCTGCTGCCAGCTCCTGACTC